TAGAGACGGGGTTTCACCATGTTGACCAGGATGGTCTCGATCTCTTGACCTCGTGATCCACCCGCCTCGGCCTCCCAAAGTGCTGGGATTACAGGCTTAATTTTTTTCTTTTTACCTAACCATCTACTTCTGTATGTATTGGAGGAAAGGAAATGAGTAACTGCATTACATTAATTCATGACAGTGGTTTCTCCTAATGTGTCCTTGGCATCACACTCAGATGAAAGAGTGAGGATCTTTATTAGCACAGATCATGCACTTCATTCTGATTCTTGATTTTATTTTTAATCACTAACTGCAAGCATATCAACCCATGGGAAGCACATTTGGTTTCATAGCTGTCATCATGGAGGTGCTAGCATGACAGACTAGGATGTATAGAAGTTTAATAACAGCATTGCACTTTTTCTCTTGTCTAACCTCTTCCCTACAGGGAATCTTTAACCAGTTTCAGTGTAGTAGTGAAAAAGTGCTTCCATCTGACACTCTCCGCAGTGCTCTGGCAAAGACTTTCCAGGATGAACAACGTTTCCAGCTGGGGATTATGGATGATGCTGCAGAGTGCTTTGTAAGTGCTGGCCTCCAGCCCTCTTTGATATGGGGTGGGACTACTGATGGTCCCCATCAGGGCCCGGCCTATTGGCTACTTTATGGTGGAATTTACTGTTACAACCATTTCTACCTTTAGAACTAGGAGTTTCTTTGATTTTTCAGGATCTAAAATGTCTCTGTTATAGCAGTGTGTTATTATTTTTCCTTTAGGCAGCTCGTGGTTTTGTGCTTATCATTGAATAAAACATCAGCTCTCACCTTCAGACGATCCAAGGCTCATTAAAATACAAATTGTTGGTCTGTACCCTCAGAGCTCCTGATTCAGTAGACCTGGTGGAAGGGCCCTAGAACATCTGTATTTAACAGGTTCCTAAGTGATGCTAATACTGATGCTGCTGGTCTGGGGACCACACACTCCTCTATTTCTAAAGATAATTAATCAGGGAATAACTGAGTCCCTAACATAAGTGTGATGTGCTATATAGATAGCTACGTTGCCCCCAGTGCTCATTGCTCTTCTGAACTCTGTGTTCTATCTATCAACCTTCAAAAGACTCTCTATACATCCATTCAGAAAATTTGAGTCCAGGTGCGGTGGCTCACGCCTGTAATCCCAGCACTTTGGAAGGCTGAGATGGGTAGATCACAAGGTCAGGAGTTCAAGAGCAGCCTGGCCAACATAGTGAAACTCTGTCTCTACTAAAAATACAAAAATTAGCCAGGCGTGGTGGCAGGCGCCTGTATTCCCAGCTACTTGGGAGGCTAAGGTGGGAGAATCACTTGAACTTGGGCAGCGGAGGTTGCAGTGAGCCGAGGTTGCGCCACTGTGCTATAGCCTGGGTGACACAGTGAGACTTTGTCTCAA